GTTCTGTCTGCCCACCCCCCCCCCCCAAACCCAAACAATTTGGAAACGTATGGTCCACCTCAAGTTTGAATTCTGAGGGGGGGGTGATCCTGTCATATAGCCCACTTAAAAACCAAGGCCATTCTCGGGCACCCCTGCAGTTGGCAGGCGCCACCTCTAGTAAAAAGGGCAACAGGATGCTATGTAGATGACACACAAACGGCCACGCAGCAGAAGCCCGGCCTCTGCGCAGCTCGCTGAGCTGCTGCCTCCGAAGCGAAAGCCAGCTTGCCAGCTCCCTGTAGCAGGATGTAGCAGGCGAATCTAACATGGAAATACAGAATTTACCGTGCATTGAGAAGAGGGTGCTGCGGCTCATCAGAAAAGCAGGATCACTTCATATATTACGTATAGCCATTTTGCATGAGCACTCCTAGTACTCCAGCCTTGTGCTGTCCGGTCTTGCGGTCGTAGAAAACACTGCAAGACAGAATGTCCTGCAGACCAGGGGCAACGTGGCAACGCAAATTGGGCATCTAAAGCCAGCAGGAACATGTGTGGCCTTGAGGCCATACACTTTGCAGTTGAGTCGCTCCACAATCTGCAAAATGCCGTCTCAGGCTGGTTTCGTCGGTGTGCCAGCTAAGACTGTCCACGTGCACCTTAGATGAAAACGCAAAACACCGGCCAGCTTCCTGTTTGCTGTAAGTCTGCAGCATGCCCAGCATCTCACCTCGAAAGACGTAACGTCACGCTTGGTACCTGACGCAGCGTCGGCTCCCTTTTTGGGCTGGTGCCGTCTACTGCGTAGTCTACTGTTGGAGAGCCAGGGGGCCCCAGTATGGGCCGCTAGCTTGTTGTCCTCATATTTCACAAAACCTTTTCAATCTCCGCGAACTCAACCCGACGACCTGTACTGACGACCCCCATACATTGCGTCTCAGGCTATGATTAGGGCCCACTGTGCATTTTTCAAGGAAACCTTGTAAGCCTTGAAGCATCCGAAAGCCTATCCAAAGCCGATTCATACCAGGCCTCTCGGAGGAACCACAGTGAAGGGTCGCACGGTAATGGGTCGCCCATCCAGGAAGGCGTCATGTAGTGACAGGGCCCTATCGACTGCGTCCGGCGAAGCAAAGGTCACCTTCCCAAAGCCTTGCCGCGCTTCCAACCCCTTAGGTAATTTTCGGGCCCCTGACTTACGCAATTTACCTAAACAAGTCAGCTTCACCTACTGAAACTGCGTGAGGGCATTGCCTCTCGAACGACCTGTGATGGAGTCAACGTTGACTTCAGCGCGCACGACAATCCCACAGCTTTCAAAGAAGTCATAGAGACGCTCGTCCGTGGTGGCCCAGCAAAGACCAGCCACAAATACAGCTGAAGAAACTGTTGCAGTTGGATGCTGCTCTGCCCTCACTCCTTGTAGGTGTTGCTGAATCTCTTCTTCGGTGAATTCTCCCGCAAACTCCCTGCTCAAGTCTGCTATGGTGTAGGCTGACTTTTGCGGTGAGGCCGACATGGCCACCAGCGATTTATTCTAAGACGTCTACGAAGAACCAAGAGCTGCAAGCAAACCATGGCAAAGCTCACAGTGCTCACATTCTTCAGGCAGAAAGGCTTGCAAGGACCACCCACCGGCCTGATAAAAGGATCGGATGTCTCCCAGAGAGTCGGGAAAGTCCTGAAGCAAGCAGCCAAGAGATTGGCGGAAGGTCTCTAGCTCGAGACATCCACTCTGGAAGATCCCGCAATCCTGACCGGACAGCCGTGCAGGCAGCCAGCCCAACCCTGCACCGCATCAGCCTGCTGGGGCAAGTATTGTATCGGGGGGGACAGCCTACAATTCTGCCAACGGCATCCAACGCCTGTCTGGACAAAAGAATGCGCCGTGCAGTGGGCAATAAAATTGAGCCAAAGCTTGCCATATTGACTTCGCACTCTAACAAGTTGTGCTTCATGCTTCCGTGCTTCATGCTTCCGGGCTCTAAGTTTCCTAAGGCAGGTCACCAGGCAGCACCAACCAAGGACGAAGTTGCAGGAATCTCATGCGAGAACTGCTGCAAGGAACCCGAAACTTTCGGCTGGCCATACGCCACACCATGCAATCAGCGTGGGCCCGTAGCAAGATTTGGCTCTGTACTTGCAACACCTGAATGGATTACACTAACATAAAGATGGCCCCAAAGGAGCCCAAATCTTGCTCGTGTATGTACAAACAAACACTGCTAGCGGGCAGCAAGACTCAAATGCCCTAGTCAAGGCATGAGCGGGTGCCTGCGCAGGGAAAGCGCAAACCTTGGACTAGTGCGTACAGCGCATGACAGCCTAAACTACTGCCTTGGAGGAATGGCAGGAAGCTGTTAGTCGGGTCTTCCCAGCAAAGCCTGCAAGGCCTGCAAGGCCTGGAAGCGTTCATCCAATCAGTCTTGTTTCTGCAAGACCTTCGGCCCCCATCAATAACCCCTGCGCCACGACAGAGAGCCAGAAGCAACTGGAATGATGGCACAAGTTGCAAGAGGACTTCGCTCCCAAAGGCAGGTCACCTTCAGACCATCCGAAGCGAGAAGAATCATGATTGATAGTGGCCCTCCTTTCCACGCTGAACACAGGTCGGAGACTCGCAGACTGTGGCCAGCTATGTTTGGTCGCATGGCACTCAAGCATCGCGGGGGTGCAGGCCAATCTGCGAATGTTGCTGTGCTGAAGGTCTTCTCCTCCTTCTAGAAGCAGTTGTTGTAGCAGGAATAGAAGCAAGAGCCAGCGTTGATGATCATTAGTTCTGTGCTTCTTGAGGCTTCTATGGCCTGTAGTATTCGCGTTGCGTGAGCACACGTGAGATGTCGATACATGCCCACTTGACCCGAACACTTGATGCCATGCCGTGCCAAGCACGTTTGTGCTTATGGCATTGTTGGACGGGAATGCCCTGCACTTGTCACTAACTGAACACGGTCACCCAAAGTGTGTAAGGAGTCGAGGCAGCATGACTCAGCCCCCAAGCTTGGGAACATCTACCTCGAAACCGTGCTTTCGGAAGGCATAGCGCAGCCTCTCACGCTTCTCCCATTTCCTTTGCTGAAGCTGAGGTTTCACGCGCAAGGGCACATGCTGTCACAATCTCGGGTTTTTCCAGTTGCTACTCGAAGTATGATTGGCAGTGAATGCGGGTGCTCTTTCAACCTCTGGTGCTAATGACAAGAACCTCTTATCAGAACCTTGCCCAGCAACTGCTTAAGCTCGATAGGCACCATCTGTCGCGGCCAGTTCTGCTTCGGAATGCTGTTGCCACCTTCACGGGGATGTTGGGGCTCATCGGGGAGCGGTCGGGTACCGCCCCCACTCATTAACATTTGGATAATTTTCGTATCATAGTTACGTATACTATATGCAGCCATTAGCATGTCCCTATTATGGACTGTCAATGGGTAAGGGCAGGACCCAAGGGAGATTTCTAGGCTCATGAAGCACTCTGCTCAGGCTTACCAACGGTGTTTGATCTGCTGGCCACTCCCATCTTTTCAGGTTTTGGGGACTGCCTCCTCCTGAGGGCTCCAATCCACTGACGCAGAAAGCAGGGCTTGACTCTGGGTGGCACAAGTACTAGTACTGCTTCTGGCCCCCCTCACCCCCATCAAATGCAAGTGGACTAGATTACCCCAAACAATCGCAAGCTAGCAAGGATAATCTCACATGTCAAGGACAACCGTTGCACACTTCTGAGGGCCACACCGAAGGGACCACGCCCGAAGCCACTTTTGTAATTTGCCTTAGGCGGGTCGTACTCCAGCCACCATTTCTCCTGGTCCATTGCGGCTCCGTCTAGAATAAAGCCAAGATGACAGAGGATGAAAGAAGGCATCGCAGCAGACTTGATACTCATTGACTTTGTAACAATTTTGAAGAGGATTGGCAACAAGGACGATCTTAAGTTTGGTGGGGATGATGTAACACCAAGAGCAACACACAGGTGGCCTGAAAGGATTGCTGGCTGTCTCCGGAGGCCCTCCCAACTCCTAAATAAACTGGCTCTATGTGAATCACAACCCACACCGCTTGTAAAAGTTGAGCTGGAACAGTGACAACCCCAACCTCGCACTAAGAAATCTTCATGCAATCCCTGTATCTCCCCCACACTGTAGCAACCCTTATGCAATCCGCGTTTGATGGGAACATTCACTGGGTTTGTTCCTGCGTTTTAGCCCTGTCATCCCCACATTCTCTCCAAACCCTCAACTTTAAACCCAGAATTCTGAACCCAAAGCTCCAAACCCTTGCCCTCCCAAAAGATGCATGGAACCGGAATAGAAGCGTTGTGTAGACTGCCGCCGTCTCAAGAGGACCACTTTCAGGTTCCTTTACTTCCATGTTTGTTTGCGGAATGCCCGCACAAAACGCACATCCCTCAACCCACCCAACTTTGAGCCCTATCCACAAAACCCGGTAGTAGCCCTTGCTATTCAGGCCTGTAGTTGCCGGCCCCAAGCCCTAACTTGAAGCATCCCACTTCCAGGCTCCTCAAGCCCCTGTGTCTTCCGTCGCTTGTTGGGCGGCCGGGCACACTGCAGTGGGCCTTCTCCATTGCTGAGCGCTTAGTATGATGACAGGGACCTAGTTGCTGAAAAAGCCTCTCATGTTTGTGACGACGCTTCACCACTAAACCTTTCCAATCCCTCAGAATGGAGAACCGACAGCATTGACAATTTGGGATTTGGTCTCTAGGCAGCGTCTACTGCCTGTACCCTGGACCGCGGCCTAGTTTTTGCGGCGCCGGGCAAAGCAACAACCACTGTTCAGGGTCAAGAATTTACGAGTACCTGTCTGAGCATTTTTCTCTGCTTACATCCGCCCAAGAAAATGGCGTGTAGCAGTTTATCTGACATGCCCCTTGGACTAGAATCTGAGACCCGAGCACAATGGCAGGAAGGCATCCCCAACAGGAGTTGGTGAGTCCAAGCTTCCGTCTCCTGCACGGTTTCGGAAATATATGCCCCCAGGCAAGAGGGATGTCCAGGAAACACAACGCAACCACTTTTACACCCCAACCGGCATTTCAAAAAAGTGCACCGAGGCAATCTCGGCCTATGGGCATCTGCAGGATCTGCGCAGAAGGATCCTGGATGTGCCGAACCTCTGGGCAGAAGCCTGCCCTCACCCAAGGACATAACAAACACTGCCCTGCATCCCGATGGCTGAGCCACTCACTATCAGTGGAAGAGGTTCTGTGATCGGCCGGGTTGGAGCAGAAGGCGGCAAAATCTGAACGGCTGCACAACACGTGCTCAAACTTGATGGGACAATGACAACCCAATCATTCAAGTATTTTTCACGGATGTAGCCATACGTTGAGCCCGGCAGACGAAACGTCTTGCCCAGGCACCGCAGCTGCTGCCCTGGCAAGCACCCACCGAGAGGTCGAAGGAATAACACTTGTAAGCCTCAGCAGTTAAGACTGGCAGCTTTGTGACGCAAAGGCTCAAGAGGCCGAGCAGCATTGCTCGCAGGTCAGAGCTGGGACGCAAAAGGCCCAGCCCTCCCGTCTTTGATTGATCTCTGAAAGCCGCGGCGTGAGGCATGCTGTTTTCGAGCAGAATTCACCAAACCAAGCAAATAAGCTAAACCCTGAGGTTCTGTGGGAACGCAGACTGACAAGTAAGGGAGCGCAAGCCCAATCCGGGAAAAAAGAAGTCACTTTGAGCTAGGGCAACTCCAAAAGGCCAGGCGAGGCGAAGCAGCTAGCAAAGGCTGTAGGCACCAGCCGGTAAAGGTCGTGCTTGCGCTTGGTCGAGGTATGTCCTTCAAATTACTTGTGATGCTGTCATGCCGGCGTTTAGAAGTGACGGCCTTGCTGTTCTAGGTGTCCTGCGGCATGTCTGCTGGTTCGCACTGATGTCCGCAGTTCCTGTCCATTCAAAACATCACAAAGCCATCGGACATGTGATGTATCAACTACAGCCTCGCATGTTACAATTTGAGCAGCTGCCGCTCGCAAGCAGCAGATTGCACTTGCCGAGCTTTCTGATGCCAGGAAACACTCTCACATGTCTGTAGTTGCACTGCCCAAAATGCAGCATTCCCTTCTTAATAACCTGAAGCCAACGCCAGTCCTGCATCTGTGAGGGACGAACACTGGCACGTAAACCACCTGTCAGATAGTGACTGCTCCAGAGCAACCCTCAAAGTGCTGGAAACATCCCAGAGACTAGGTGACCACTGAAGTCACTTCATGCAGAAGGTCCATGTCTGACTGGCCTGTGCAGCTCCTGGCAGCCGGCCATCATCCGCCTTTTTTCCACGTGTAAAGGTCTATGCAGTGTCACTCTAAATCTTTGCCGCAACGGGAACATCCTGACGCAAGTAAACATTTCATATCCTATCCCAGTCAAGCACGGTGCCAACGAGTTTTGAACCATGCACGTGAGCTTGCGAGAATGCATGCCTAAATTCAGAAACACCTTCAATGTGTCCACACTTACAACTACATGTGACTACTTGCCTAACCTTCGCATAGAAGCAGCGTTGCAACAATGCAGTATGCAATGCATACGCCAGGTGCAAAGCCAAAAAATGCATCGCGAAGGTGTTCGCGAACTACTGTATCTTCCAAATTCTGCAATGGCTTCTGCGCTTGTAGGAATCTGCTCTTGTGGAATAGGCCAGGATAAGAACTCCTCGTATCCCCCTGGAACGCATGGACCACAACATGCGATTGGGGGAGGGGGAGCGTGGGTTGCGGCATAGGGGTTGAATTCGACCCAGCTTTGTATCTCAGTGTCCCTTGAAGGGAACGTTTGAAGATATTTTATGGATCCGGACAGTGGTTCCTACAAAAGCATAGGAAGTACAAAGGCATAGGTTCTTAATCATGGCCTACATGATGGGACTAATTACCTCGCCACCCACGCAGCGCCAGGAAAGTAGTGCAACGGGCGCTGGGAGGCGAACAGGCAGTGACCAGCTAATGGCACTTTATTGCAGGAATATATTCTTAGGGGCCTAGGGGGCCTTTATTATTGGGGGAGAGGATTATGAACCCGCAAGTAGGTTTCAGTTGTAGTCCCACTACAGCGACCCAGTACTGTTCATAGCAGGGGAAGCATTGGAATAGCAAGTTTGGGTTGTACGCAAGTCATTTCGAATGACCCGTCTCCCAGAGAGCTGCACATACCCGCATTTCGGTGAAACGTCACTCTTCCGCTTGCAAGCATTTTTCGTTGTTTTTGGATGACCCATCGAAGCTTGGAAGAGTCAATGATGTATGAAGCTGAAGAAGCAAATATGCCAACTAGCAAATTGCCTGGCCCCTTTGTCCTTACGGTTGAGCCTGGCATGGTCGTCAAGCCGACCTTTTGGGGAGATTTTGTGGAAATGACGCAGGCAAGTCTTTGCCGTGCTTGGGTGGAGTGGCTTGTAATCACTGCTCGTGCTTCAGTCACAACACTCAGCTGCATGATTATGCAACAAAAACCTGGGGAACTCCAATTTCTGCTTTGTCTTTGGCGAGTGAGACTGGAATGTCCCGGGCTCAGAGGCACACCATGGACCTGCCAGTGCAAGCTAGGGACATATGGGGGTTGCTTGCAAAGGGCGCCGTAGGCCTACAAGGACTAAAGAGGGATTCTGGGGATACCTGTCAAGGATTAAAGAGAATCATTGCTGTTTCCTAGCGAAGGATTTGCTAAATGTAAACCTCCTGGCTTATCTCTCAAACTCCCAAACCTGACTCTGCAACGAAAAGTAGCAGCCTCTTGAATCCGCGGCACCCGAAAAGCAGGAGAGCCCACGGAGTCACTGCGAGCATTAATCCCGGAGTTTCAGGAAGAAGCCTCAGAGGGGCAAACTGCTCTGCCAACCGGCCTAGCTTCTTGAACTTGAGACTCCAAGTTGTAGTAATGGTGTGAGTTGTAGAGACACTAACAGTAAGAGCCATAGTAACGATATCTTGACATGATACCTGTATACCCCTATATAATCCCCATATCATTTCCTCTGGAAAGGGACCCCAATAAAGCTTGCCAAGAAGCGTTTGATCATTCTCGCTTCTTGCGAGACTGTGCGCTTGCTTGCAGCGTCTTCGTTGGCAGCCTTCGGTTTCAGCAAACACTCTCTTTTGCTTGATGTAAATAAAAAGAATAGTAATAAAAAGTGAGAACAGTAGTTCTAATAAAGATACTCATAATAATATGGTAAAAGCTGCCTCTACAGGCTAAAACTGAAACTATAAAGCGCTGCCACTGCCTCCACAACATTGATGGTTGTACCTATGTTCTTTCCCACTTGGTCGGCAGAGTCTAGGAAAGCGATGATGTCATCGAAGACTTCATCGTTTAGCCTTACTCTCCACGAGTAGCAGAGTAGCACAAGAAAAGCAGCTTGACAATCATGCTAATCGGGATCTACGGGCAATTCGACCGTAAGCTCGAAACACGACCATGTTCTTTGCCAGGGTCTCTGCCAAGGCCAGCATACACCTTTTGGCATAGTACCTCGGCCGAAGGCACTGGAGGGGGCTGGGCCAGCAGATCGGCTTCAAAGGCAAACAAAGCTGTCATGTTCTCGCTCTCAACAAGCAAGGGCAAGCAGGAACCATGCTGCTCACATGCAACTCGGATGCCAGGTGTCGACGCCGATCTTCTTATCATACGGCTCCTAATTGCAGCGGAGGGAAGGCGCCAAACAAGTGCCAGCACTGCAGTGTGCTCACCCCAGCATTCACCAGCCTTTCTTAGTGCAACTCCTGGCTCTGAGACCTCTAACCGTTTGTGCAGCAAGGGTGCTAGGGATTTGATAATTCGGCTGATGCCGAACTCGAAGTTACCCTTGGTGCAGTAGAGGGTGCCAATCACCTCAGCGCCCATGAACAAACGCCTTCGCTGCAGCCACAGTTCGAGTGCTCAAATAAATCATGTCCGACGACTCTTGGATGCTGAGTACATGAAGTGAAGGAGGGACCATGAAGCCAACTAAGCCTTGGGCCAAATTGATGATGCAAAGGTGGTAGACCTCAGCCAGCGGAACACTGAAAACATCATCACAGTGACCTAGCTTGCTAGCAGTCTCAGGATAGTTCATAGTCATGGCTGCAGAAGAAGAATGTCGTGACACCAAAAAGAATGTCCACAAAACATCATAAAGCCATCTATAGCCATGCGCATTGATAGTGCAAATTTCCAAGCAGCCCTTGAGATTTTCACAAGGTGACCCTTGCAAAGGTCAATCCTTAAGAGGAACTTCTACTTGTAGGGTCAACTTGGAACCCGTAGGATCACTCAACGCGTCCCTTGTCGAAATTCCGTGTGCGTTTAAGAAGCCGGTTTGGAGGGGTCCTTCACCTTCTCCTCCTGTGAAGCATTCATGCAGTTTCTAAGCTACTCGCAAAGGGCTCGGAATGTCAGGAAAAAAGAAAACTTACAACTTACAACTGAACAATTGAACTGAAAAGGCGAACAGGTAGGATTTCAAGGGCGCAGGCGGTATGGGAAGCATCATCAGGGCGTGCTTGCATAGATTTTGTCAGGGCCCCCACATCCTCGTGGTTAATATCTTGTGGCTCCAAACATGAAAGGAGAAGATACAGGATCAAGATAGCAAGGCGTGTGCGAGTGCTGCCTTCCATCTTTCTTTGTGCTTCCACAGAAATTTTACCGTCAATTGGCAACCAGCGAATTTCACACGTCCTCCAGGCAAAATTGCAACCAACAAGCACTTGAGTCTGACCCTCCATGTCGAAGTTTCCATGCAGAGGTCATCTAAAGTAACAGTGATAGTAATAGTAATAGTAAGAGTAGTAGTAGCAGCAGTTGTAGTTGTAATTGTAATGCTCATAATGACAGTAGCGTCCAGCCCAGCTTCTCCGCATTAAATCCAATTTTCAGTGGGGACCCCTTTTACTTTAACAAAAAAAAGCTTTTTCAATATTTTAGAGACAAGGCTTGCCTTGCGCCTTCCAGAACAGCAGTGGCAACAAAGAAAGCACTGCAGCTGTATCACTTGCATTGTAGTTGACATCACTATGACCTCGTTATCGTAACCCTTTTGAATCTCGACCTGCATCGAGACCTAAACCCTGAATCCCATACCATGATGGCAAAGGCTTTCCATAGACCGAGTCCTCGCGCTCCACGAGCCTCATCAGCTCCTCCGCTTCCTCGTTGGCCGAGGTCATGACCTGAAACGCGGTCTTCGGTTAAAGATCTCGTCTTTCTAGTTAGTTGATCCATTGTGGCTGTTTCTCATAACTGTACATCTCGTCGGAACCCGTCCTTTGCAATGAAAATTTCTGTACGCGGCGCGATGTGCACAGGAGGGCGCTAAAATTCATAATCCATTCAGAGAATTCCAGCTTTCTGCATGCTTTGTGCTGCTACAGTACTTCAAGCGATTCGTGGCCTGCTGCTTTGGCAGTGGGCCAATATTATGATTCAATCATGATGCCTTGATTGCCGCGTAGGGGCATACGCAACACACAGATTTGCCAGGATGATCGCTGTCACATTCAGCAGGTCATCATTGTGCTTTCGCACAAAAGGCTCATAGTAGCGTATGCATTCCTTGAACTTTTCCTGCATGAAGAAGATGTGGGCCACGTTCCTTGATTGGCACCCACTCTCCGTGCTGTGCTGAAACCATGCACTGTAGCAACATGTTCCTGCAGCCGAAGAACAATTTCCATGACTCATCTTCACTGCAGAACTCGGCAGATTGGCGGAAGATCTTCTCCTGAGCAGAGCTTGCTAGCATGTCAGTCGGAAGCGGAACCTTGCAACAGTGTCAATGGTGGCACTGCTGAAACGGCGGCAGCTGCTGCTGTTACTGTTGTTGCTAGCGTTCTTACCTTCCTCCGCGTGCGTCTGCGGTCACGTGAGGCTACCGCAACCAGGTCGAGTACAAATGTGAAATGCGGGACGGGGTTGCTGGCAGTTTTGAAACAGGCGTCTTCCTGCAGTGGGCTTACTGTAGGTAGCACTCCTGTTGCTATGCTACTACCGCTTGTCCTGCTGCAAGGAAGTCAAAGGTCAAAACTGCAACTCAGTCTCCACCATGGAGTAGTTTTCTAGCTCCCAATAGATCTTGGCCTGCCCCATGAGGACCTCAGTTGAAGTTGGGTGCGAGTGAAACTTGATCCTTGGGATGAAGCATCCCCAAAAAAATGACACAGCGTCACCAGTGGTCAACTATGAGAGTTTGACAGCAAAAACTACACACTCAATTGCCACCAAAACTACCGGTATGTACTTTGCCAGGGCATCGTCAAATTCGGCTAGGTACTTCTTCACCTCAGCAAGCAAACATGAGCCTGATGAACTGTGATTCCCTTTGAGCACGCAGCAGCGCACTCATCCAAGGCGCAGGCCTGAGTCTGATCTCGCTGTCTTCTTGCATCCTGGATGTTCTTGGTTCCTCGCAGAAAGGGTAGCAGACATAGGCGGCTACGCCTGTCACACAGATTACACAAGTTGTCTGCATAGAGTCCTTTCCGCAACATCTCCACATGCTTCGCTGACAGCTCATCAAAGCGCCGGTACGCTTCTTCAGGCGAAGATTGGCCCAAAATCAACGCATCCAAAAATTCCTTAGACAAAATGTGTCGCAGGTTCCGGGAAGTCTGTCACTATGTTGTCGGCATGAGCTGCAATGAATCAATGAATCTTCAAGCCGTGAATCGTAATCCTCAGGCTTCATATTCTTGTAGGTCAGCTCGGCGTTCTCTGCCAGAATATCGGCAGCGAGATCATAATAGCCTTGAACGCTCGCATGTCAGCCAGAAAACTGGACCCTAGATGGCGCCTTAAATACTTCATATTCGAACATCACCCCGTGCCATATCATCCAAGCTGCTGTACTTGCAATACAGCAGGAGGAGATTCACGAAAGTTTCCTCAGGTTCTGGCAAGGTGGGGACGGGTTTAGCAGCTATGCCTCAACCGGAATGTTTTGCACGTCTTACCGGGATGCCTTGCAACACTTGCTACTGGAACAAAAAACCACGAGATCATCGTGCGTGGTGATGTGGGTACAACTAAAAATCATGTGCAACTACATATGTGATTAACAGATGCTGCCAAGTCATCACTGAACGTCTACAATACATGAACATGTTGTGGGATGAAGGCCCTGTGCTGCCTGAAGAATCTTGAATGCCTGCCGATGACCAAAGAGGTCTTGCCAAAGTGCTGGTGGCGATGGTTGCTGGTTAAGCAGGAAATTGAGCTTGCGGAAGCCTTCAGTGGGCTTCTCGTCCATCTCCTTGGCAACAATTCCAAGGTGAAGATTTTCCCAAACAAGCTCTGCTGCAGCGTGCCATCAGAAGTCTGAGATCTGCACTATGAGTGCCTGATTGTGCAGCGTGACCGGATCGAGCTCCGACTCATCCCGAGGTGGCATGTCAGCTAAAGCATCCTGGCGGTTTCAAGCCACTCGAACCCCACAGCTTCTGACATGTCGGTCGCACCTTGGCGGCTTCCATGTTCTTTGTCATGTACCTGTATCGGTCAACATTTGCAGCCAGCTGGAGCGTGGAAAAATCCAGCATATTTGGCTTAACTCTGAAACCCTGTTATGAAAAAGAACTCTTTACTCAACCTTGCAGAAAAAACTCATGCTGAGCGCAACCAGGTTGCTCTATTGCCGACTTCAGGTTGAAGGCTTCAATCAAGGCGGTTTCCCGCAGCACCGACGTGTTGCCGACACTCCTTGGGCAAGGGCTCTTCCCAAACCGCCACGCAAGCTACAGGCACTTTCAACAGAACTGCACTGGGGTAGGTTTAGGGGATCACGGTTAGGTCATTTCCCCCTATTACCACAATGGGTTATAGGAGTTATAAGAACCCCCTTAATGAGGCCCCTTTAAGGACAGTTACTGGGAGGGGGAATGACCCAAGATCAAGGGTAGCAAAAATCAAAAAACATGCCCCCGTGCAGGCAGAGTCTGGCCCAGCGGAGGCCCTTACTTGTCTGTACCACCGGCATGGGCCGAGGATATCACTTAGGCGTCAGGCTGATGGGCAGCATTCCATAAATCTATTGTAACTTGTAGAATATAATATGTTATAATATATTCTCGCAAATTATGAATAATTATAGTATACTACAGTATATTATGACATATTCGAATATATTATAGTATATTGTCGACCGCCAGTGCAGTCGGGAGCCTCTATCTCAAAAGCAAGGAGCATTCAGGCCTGGTAGTGCAAAACCCTCCCACTATATCCCCAATGGGTGTGGGATGTCCACTTGGTACTTTCCTTATATAGGGGACCCTAATATAAACCCCCCCAACGTTAAAATCCTTAGCATTGGGACAAAGACCTATAATGTTTTTTGGTCCCCCTCCCCATCTCCCAACCATCATGAGGCAAGACTCCGAGCTTTCAGGTCGCCCTCAGACCTGATGCGCCAATGAGAAAAAGCAAGGGATCAAGCCTTGTTCTAAGTATTCTTTGATTTTCTATAAGTAGAATGCCAAAAACCAAGTCACATCGCTTGCTGCCTTGTAAGTCCTGGTTCTGCGCAGCCCGGGAAGGCGTGGTTGTGAAGTCACGTGCCGCAGAAATGGCAAAAGCTGTTGTAGATTTCCCCAGTAGCCCTCGCAACCCCGGTGAAGCTTTAAGTGGAGGCGGTATTCCTTTCTATCGTGCACAGGACTCAGCCAGAAGCTTGCAACTTCTACTACAAACTTCCAGTCTGAAAGCTCCTACCTCAGGCCTCTAAGTAATTCCCTTTGAAATTCTTGCAGCGGCAGTGGCAAAGCGCCCACGGACAGCTCCGGGTGATCCCGCACGCCCCGCTCGATGATCTCTGCAATGTGTTTCAAAGCAGGGCCGTACTGCTTGGAGCCTGAGCTGCCACTTCCCAATCATATTGGGTATATATATTGGGGTTATATATTGGGGTTATATAGGGATAATGGAAACTACTATAGTATAATAGGGTATACAGGGGATATATTGGGGTTAGATAGGGATAATGGAAACTACTATAGTATAATTCAAAGGTGGACTTGGATGCAGGAAGTCCTTGTACCATGCGGACTCAAAACGAGCAGGTCTGGAGCATCAGCCCTGGAGACTTGCCGAGTCAAACACATCTTGGCTCCGTGCTGTAGTAACATAGCGCAATGTTGTAGGCCAGGCTCGCCTTTCACAACTAAAATGTCAAATTTGCGGCTGTGCCTGTCGGCAAAAAATGGTGGAGTGGTGCCTGGTAGCCGGTACTAGTTATGGCATCGTTGAAGAGCTTCATGGCTTCGGCGTACCTCTGACAAACTTTGGTGCTTTGGTCTTGTCTGGTGCCTTCAGTTGCATCCCTGAATTGAGGGGTCAACCCCTTACGGTCTCAACTTTCAGCACACTTCTGCCTGGCATGTCTGCATCTGGATTTATTGCCCTTCCACTGGCAAAAGCCACAAAGTCACTTCAGGACGCCCTGCTACGATCTTCGAGGGCACCGCTTCTCTTTCCAAAGCAGCGCGCCCTCAAAGACTTGCCTCTCCTGCCAGAACGGTACTCATGCGAGAAATAATATTGTGGCTAGTCGGCTCTCAGTAGCAAGTGCCCACCTTTGTCAGCATCAAAGATGCCCTGGAGTCGAATTTTCTAAGCTCTTGCATGCTCTTGCCAAGATTCTCTTTAAGACAGGCATCTTCCGAAAAGGGACCTTTCTGTCTTTAAGCAACTGTCCTCAGAATCTGGATGACATTGATCCAGGATGCTGCGTGCCAGTTGCGTCTCTTCCTTCAGGGGCGCTGCCACATCATCACGTCAAACAAGTGCAAACAGCAAGATGCGAAAGGAGCAGTAGCCAGTAGCGATCAAAAACTCCGCGCCCCTACACATTAAACCCATTCGGCACATAAGTAATCATACCTGTAACCCCAGCTACCTACAGTTCAATAGTAACTCTCCCCTTTTTAGCAGCTTTAACCCACAAAAATCTCCAACCCTAACAAAACAGGCCTGCTCATAGGAGATCGTGGCTTGCAGCATAAGGACGCGCTCCTAAGTTGCTGATACCCTACTGTTGCTACTCCTCCTACTACTATTCATATGATGATGATGATGATGACTCTGACAACTGCGACTTCCACCAGCGTGTTTCCCGTGCCCACTGTACCACTTGCGGATTGTCTCCAAACGACTCTCCCACCTTGGGCATCTCCGAGGCACAAAAGGACCCACCAAGTTCTGCTAGCCGTGGCCCTTACTGTAGATGGAAGGTTACGCATGCAATTTTGCAAAATCCCACAAAAGGCTCTGAACGCCAAATGCAGCACATAGTCTTCTTGCAATGCATCGCGTTAAAACACCGCCATCCCGTTTAGGAATCACACTAACCCTGCACCTGCGAGACCCTAACGTCTACCAGCCAGTCCATGGGGGCCTACCAGTTCGGGAAACTTTTTGGTTGCATCTGGGCTGCGGGGCGTCCGAAAAAACCCAAAACGTATCGCCATCCGGTTCCTGCAATTTCCTGTGTCACACTTTGGGGGACCGACCCTTGAAACCTGGAAAAGCATGTTACAAAATGGGCAGGGATATTAGGAAAACTAGTGACCTATACTAGCAGTTATAAGGGGTTATAGGATATTCCCTGGCTTTTGACTTGGGACTTCCCTGCCAACACCCTAAAATCCTGGTAAAAGCTACTAAACTCAGAACCCTTCAAACCGACCCTAAATTCCTGAAATCCTGACCTTGAAACACCTAGAAATGCCAGCCAAAAAACCCGCTACCCTAGACAACTCTCAGTGACAGTGTTGTTGCTTCAATGTTTCATAAGCTGGGGCACCGTGTACTCGGGCGACTCTACGGAAGTACAAGCCTGGCTCGCCTCCTCATACCTGGGTTAAGGGTCTAGGGCATGAAATAGGCCTTACGGATCTATGGTTTAGGGTTTAAGGCTTAGGGACCTGTGATTTAGGGTTTAGAGATCAATCATTTAGACTTTAGGGTGAAGAATCTGAGCTTTAGGGTTTAGCATTTATGAATCTATGCTTTACCACATGGAGGATATTCGAGGGCCTTTGGATGTATAGGCTTCGAGAAGCATATATATGTATATAAGTAGAGAATACCAAAACCCAGTTGGGGACACTAAAAGGATTACATGGGGGGCATATTCTGGTGTGTATATACTGGATAAGGAATTGGAAGATGAAACGCAAACGGGGATGATGTAGGGATAACTTGCTGGTTGTTGCTAGGGAATGGGCTAGACAAGAATAGCTACTATTCGAAAATTGCCTATTTGCCACTTGTGCGCGAGGGTTGTCAGACAGGAATGGAGGAATGGATCCCTACACACAAATACTCCCTACTCACAATCAATAACCTAAGCCCAGTTTGGGGGTTTCTCAGACGTGTGGGTCCCTTCTTCAGGGCCCCTATGAAGATAGTCAAAGCTATGCAAAACACACAGCGCTCAGAAAAGAACAGTCTATAAGGGGTGAGTGTAGGTTTGTGACCAAGTATGATAAAGTGAGGGTTCAGAAACCTGAAGCACACAAAAAACTTTAGAAACATGTCCCAGATGCAAGCCAGCCTTGATGAGGCTCTGTACCTTAGCGCACTCATCTGAACGCGCATGCGCCTGTTGAGAAACTGTCTAAGGTGTAGAACAAGATCTACAGGGATGGTGAATGCTTAGAGCTTTTGCGTCCAAAGCCGAGGTGCATGGTAGATCTTGTACTCATCGATCTCTGGCACAACTTGTACAAGCCTAAGTTCAACACCAATGCTTAGAGATTTGGTCAAAGCATGCCAACCCTCGATTAGCATGAGCTCCAAGCCAATACAGAAAACAAATCGTTGCCAACCGCTTTCTTTCATATCGCCTTAGTCTCCCTTCGGATCGTCCTTGCCGTCAGCAAATTATAACAATTCGAATAAGCACAAGCACTGCCAGCAATAATATCTTAAGCGCTGCGTATAGTTTGCTAGTACCAATCATGGCTGGGAGCTGACCATAGATGTCCGCGGCACTGGCGAAGTCTTGCATGTGGTAATAGCAGTACCCAAGCAAAGACCTTGCTTCAGCAATCACTTGGGTCGGATGATGTGTCCTTCACACGAAATGCGCCCAACTGAGCGGACCTTATGCAACAAAAGTCAAACTCCATTTTTGTGGATCCAATGACCGCCCCACCGTCTAACACACGCTCCCATCACAGCAAGCATGCTGATGCACAAAGGTATCCCTGAACTATCCCTGGGAAAGGATAACCACCTGGCGCAGAGTTCCAGAAAGTATCCCGTACAAACACGACCCAGTTTAAACCGCAAGAGGCTGGAACCATTTCTAATGTTTGCAGCTACAAGAAGAGACTTTGCGGACTGCCCTTCATCTTCCAATTCAGGTAGCACACAAAATTGCTTCAAGCTTTGCAAGCCCAATGACACTCAGAAAACCGGAAAAAACAACGATGAACAGCCTAGGGGCAAGGCGCAGCGGCTCTCTGGAAAGAATTGCAGTTGTTGGTTGAGGATTTTAACAGCCTTGTCGTACTTCTGCTCCATGATGTGTGTATAGATGGTCTTCGTCATCTCCCCCTCTTTGACTTGCACCCGCATCATGGCGGCGCCTGATTTAATGTATCTGATATCAAAAGGTCAGCTGCTGGGGTTTGTTGTTGCAACATCACCTGCGATTTCTTTGACCCATTGCAAATGCAGCCCAATTCAGCATTTGCAGGTTCTGAGATGTGATGGTGCTGCATGAGTTGAACAAAACCTCACCCGGCCCAAAGCTCAAAAGTGGGTGCTGCGTGGGGGTCTTCTGACCAGTGCTTGCACAACCACCCTACCAATAGAAAAGCCTGGGCTAACGTGGCCCCTCTGTCCAATTCCAGGCTTCAATACCGAAGAATCAAGTATCTTGCGCCAAACTGTCTACAACGTAGACTAACTTTGCAGAGTTGCCGGGGAGAGGGGCGAGACTTCTGCTCGCGAGGCCTCAGCTGGCTACTGAAGCATGAGACTAGATGCAGGTGATCGGCGGAAGTGTGAGAAGCTCCCCGCTTATGATAGATTCAAATGCCCCACTGACCGTTCCCAAAAGGCTGTCCAAATGACACATGGACAGCCTAACAAAAGATTCGTATTCCATAGTCAGCCCTAATGTTTTACTTACAATTCTGAGCGATGGGGGCAAAGCTGCAAAATGTACTCTCGGCCATGACTGACCTGCCAACTGCGTCCGTCCATTGAAAGGCATGATTGGTCAATTCCAACAGAATCCATGTGGTGTGTGCTAAACTCGTGGTCCGTACGTAAGCTTGTTGAATATAGCAGCCCTTTTCTTTAGATTCAGTTTGGGTGCGCAGACCTGAACCTAAACAGGCAGTCGCCGGATGCGAAGTTGAATTTTGCATGTGTAGTCTCTGAACTCTGCGAGATAGGCCTGCGAGACCTGAAAATGGGGCGGAGCACCTCCTTGCAGCACACCCCCTACCTCCGGCATTCATATGCATGCTGGTCGAAGCTATTGAAGAACTATTAGTTGTGGCAAACTCGGGAAGTGGTCTTGCAAAACACTCCTTCATAATTAACTTAGATGATATGCGCACGCTAGACAGAGTGCAAGACTACCCCATAACAAATCCGACAACTTTGTCACTCGTTCTGAGCTGTTTGAGTGTTGGAAACTTAGGCCAGTCACAAACGATGAAAAGGCGATGATAAAGGAAACACCAACAAATTGTGAGCGGGCACAGCCGCAACATGGAATAGTCCAAGTACCGGCAGGAGTGATGTGTAACATAAGGACAAGCAACAAGTGGGACCAAAATAGGACCAACAAAAGATGCGGCCCCAAATGTCAGAATCCTTCCATGAAGCACGAAGCCTTTGTGCATCTGGGCTCGCACACAGCTCGTTGTGCAAATCCGAGGCCCTTCAAGCAGGACCCCGCTTCGTTTTTAAACTTCTAGAAAAGCATCACTGGCTGAATCTTGCAGGGTCACCGGTGCCGAGGGCGGGTGTCGCAGCCCTTTTTGAGCCAAAATTACAGACGATGTGTGTAAGTTCAAGCAAAACAATGACAATCACAAAAGTCCAAACAATGCAGAACAACCTCCCACGCGTCATTCGGTCATGAGGTGTTGATTTGTCAACATTGGCTAACTAGGTGGGCCTTGGCCGCCTGAAAAGAAGGCTGATTTTGACAAGGTAGAATGGAAAGTGGTTGTTGAAACAACCCGCTGGTGAGTTAGGAAAATTTAGAGCAGTACCTTACTCAGACCGAAACAAACTCCTCAAAAGTCAGTGATTGCCGTACCTGGCACCCCTTTGCTACAGTGCCATGTGCGCTTCATTTACTTGTATGGTCTGTTGGCAAATGGTCCCTTTGTGGGACCCAATTACACTATAGCGCTAACATTTATGGTACTCCAGAAAAGGCTGTAAGGGTTGAGGGAAAATACCATTTGGGTACTGCCCCACCCGGTAACAATCTATTCTAGGGCCAGGGGTTATGTCAAGGGCTGTATTTTAATCATTTTAGAAATATTATGCAGCTGTTACAGGGTGGAGGCAGTACTGAAACTATCTAGCTCACCCCATGAGGACCGCTCAGCAACGTAGCCCATGGCAGGCCCAGGCTGCCTGTCACACGGAAATCGGAATCTCATTCCCTTGCAAAAACGTGGTGCTTTAGGGTTTGGGGTTTAGGTTTTTGATTTAGGGAAATCGGAATCTCCTCCCCTTTCGAAAAATTGTTCTGGGTTTAGGGGATAGCGCAGAATCACATGCAACATCATCTTGAGAATGGACTACAACATGAAATGGATTGCACATGGGTTCTTTTCAGCTTCCTTCCCTCTGCTCTCAGCAAGTCAGGACATGCTCTTGGAAACATCGTTCAGCAATGAATAGCGCGCACCGATTGTCACACAATCATGGACAGGCAGACTCAAGGTTATATTGGGACAGAATAGATGCCTTTCTCTTGATCTTGCCTTACCCCCTGGCAAAAATCAAAATCCCCGAACTAGGCAATACTAGTTTATTGGGAACACTTCTTATTCATCAGCAGGTTGGGGAGGTCTCGTTGTCAGGGCTGTCAGAGCTCTACGAGCTAGACGGATTATAAGTCACACGACTATCGCTTACTTCTCGTGACAAAACATATCCCCCACACCGTGTGTAGGCGCGATCAAAACCAAACCAGTAGCAATTCATCTCCTTGCATCTGAGTTTTCTATCAAATCATGCATCTGGTAGCGTCCTGCGAGAGGCGATTCAAATACATTGAGTGTTAGGAATTAGCGGTGCTACGTGTATTCACACTCTCGAAATGGTTTTTTCTGCAGGAAACTCGCAGGATTAGCCCTTACATGCAACATAGTAAATTGAAGCCAAGGGACGAGGGTGGCAGCATGAAACTCCCCTGGGCTCTGGCACAACAACAAGCACGAAAAAGAAGACGACCATCGCCCAATCGCTGAGAATTGGCAGCGATCCCTAGGGCACTTGCCCCTGGACTCGGACAGAAGTCTGGCGTGCTGGGGAAAAGCGCCTGACTTCTGCAACATTGCTTCTTGCATGTCAAATAGATGCACGCCAAATCCAGGAGAGTCTGTTCTGGATACGAATGAGACTGGCGCCGCCGGAGTCGCAGACGAGCTCTGTTCACGCTGTGATCTTTCTGAGGAAAAAGACCTGGCTACCAACTTAGTTGTTCAAGAGATCGTAAACTGACTTTTGACTGGTTGAGGGCACAGCTCCAGTGACAGCTGTCGACCAAACAAATTTCCCGCCGCAACATCATGACTTCCCACCCTGCGCTGAGGGCACAGAGCTTTGCCACATGTCCGCTTTTTGCAGCAGCCTGCGCCGTCCAACGCAAGCAGGCAGCACCTGCTGTGATCATGTTTCGANNCCCCCCCCCCCCCCCCTTGCAAGTGCACCAGGCCAAAGTCGCCTCTCCAGGCGACGATAAAGATGGAGGCCTGCTAGCATCTGCTTTGGACACCATGATAAGCCGTTTTCGGCAACTCCATCTTCCGCTGGGAGCGTGGCCCCGGCGAGCTGGGCTCCAAGCGGCTTGGGAGGGACCTCGCGCATTTCCGCGGAGTCGGCCAAGCAAGTTTGAGGCATGAGGCTGCAGCGGTGTTCGATTTGCACTGCAGGCTGAACCTCAATCAAACTTGTTTGCCGAGCTCGTCGCCAACTACCTTCCTCATCTGTGGCGCGGGCGGTGTCCAGGTGTAGAGTCAGACGTTGGAGGCCTACAGGGAGCGAGCGAACCCGTCAACCCGACTGACCCAGTGCATTTCGTCCTGAAACAGCGGGAACGGCCTCCACGGAGAAATGCTGCAAGAGCCTTGAGCAACCTTTGGAGATCTTTTGGACTTGGTAGTGGTTCCATTGCGCAAATCAAACTGCTGACCAACAGTGCTCGGATCCACCACAAGTTGCCACATTCGAAACTCTTGCGTGCATCTCACTGAGATGGCCGCAGCTGTACCAATTGGCCCCAAAGGACCTGGTGCAAGATGCAAAATCTCAAGTAAAATGCACACCACAGGATCAGGGCGGCCATGGGGCCTGGGCTTGGGCGCTTTGGTGGATTCGGTGGAGTTGGCGGAGGCGGAGGAACTGGAGGTGGGCCACTCCACCTCATGTGCCGCAGAGCGGCTTCAGGCTAAGTTGCCCCTTTGAGTATCAACATGCCTGGGAAGCAATACTGAACAAGGCACTTCCACGCAGACAGCATCTCACCTGCACCACTAGTCACTAGTTACCATTCACTTATCCCAGGCTCTGGCATGCAAGATGGTTGCGGTTCGCCATCCACAGTCACTGGGATCTCCTGCAGTCGGGCCAGTAATCACAAGTGCACAAGGACTTCCTTGCAGAGCCAGGTGTGAGGCAAAGGAAAGCCTCAACAGGAGCGCGGCTGTCTCTCACCTGCGGCTCTTTCGCCGCCTGGGCATGTTGGGCTTGTGCAGAGCACGGCAATAAGCGCCATAAAATGCAATTACTGAAGTCAGGCCGTCAGCTCCGTGACTGAGCCGTCGGAAGTTTTTGTCTGTCGAGATCGCATGCATCTTGGTCCAAGTTTAGTCGGGGGGGGCCTGTTGCCCCGAAAGGCATCCTCAGGCATCGAGTTCCAGGTGCCCCGAAAGGCACCCTGAGGCACCGAGGTCCAGGAAGATAGGTACAGTGACGTGACACTGTGCACGTACTACTGAACATGCTTTACAGATGAGGCGCAACTATGCCATGGTGCGAGTCGACCTGGCAGAGAGACCTTCTAAACTTTCTTAAAATGTAGTTTCAACCCCCAAGTTGCGGGCTGATACGCAGTGTTTCGTAAGGAACAGGATCTCGGCCTACAGGCGTTCCTAACTATAAATTTTCTGAGAGTGCTCATGCGTAATCACTGCGCACATAGTGGACCTGGCTAAATGCCTAAAATCCATAAATCTATAGCGAGTTCTGGCCATCTCCCTGTGGATGATGGATGCGCTCGCACTCTCCAAAATCCGAATTTGGGTCGCCAGCACTGGGCCATCATACAGTGATGTCACAATGTCAGGGTTCGTGACATCTGTAGCGAAGCAGACCAGGTTACCTACCCACTCCAAGCCCAGCACATGGCGACGCATAGTGAGCGTGTGAAATGTGCAGGAGAAATCATCCATCAAACATGTCTTATAAACCTCACTTCCTGCTTCACGCTTTTGATGAAGATGCAGCAGCTCCCTGCACACATGCGCGCGCTTCGGGCGCGAACACGTGGCCCCCTTGCAAGCAATGCGAACCCGCTTTACTGGACCACGTTTGGGGGCTTGATCGTGCTGTGTTTCGAGTGGTAATTGGGTACCCTACATGATCCCAGAGTCGCAAAATTCAGTGAATTCGAGACAGTTTTGTCAAAATTCGCCCGCCACGTGACTGTTACGCACCGCGAAGCCGGCAAACGCTATATGCCAGGCTCTCCAACAACACACAGCATAACTCTTTGCAGCACTGCGCTGAAGAGCCGTGACACAAGGTGACCATGCAAGTGTGTGATCCCTGAGGATCCAGGCACCCGAAACAGTCAGGTATCTGGACCCTGGACAGGGTGTAGGGGCAAAGAAGCGGCTTGCAACTTCTTCCCCTCAACTAAATAAATAGCTGCGTGATTCGCTTACAGTGCGCTTGACTGAGATGCTCATCTACGCCAGGCACATCTGACTCCCGCTCGCGCGCCGGCGTACATTGATGGCCAGCCAGAAGCTGTACAACAATCCCAGGCAAAGGTGGAAGAGCATGAAGCCTGCCATCATCAGGGACAAGACGATAGCAACTGTGTCCACGTAGTCCATGGAGAAGACCCACTCTCCCAGTCCGTAGTTGGCGGCCAACCATGTCGGCAGCAAGACACGCCGGCTCCAGAGACGGATCTCTCGAGCATAATGTTGCTGGCTCTCTTCTTCGGAGTCCCCTTTCGAGCTGCCGAAGCAGCAGCGTCGTACTTGCTTGCCCTTGGAGGCTTTCCCGCGCGTGCCCCACTTGGCACCCAGTCCATCAGCATTGGCCACTGCTACAATTGGCTGCTGCAAGTTCTCGATGAACGTGGTGAGAGGAACCACAAAGATCAAGAGCCCCGCCCACATCCTGCGAAGGCCGTGGGGCACCTGTGCTGCCATCATGAGCAGACACAGCCCCAAAGTCGAGCCCCAGAACAAAGGGTTCTTCCATGCGCCATAGCCCACAAGTAGCACGGCCAGCTGCGAGGCCCCAAGGAGCATGAAGAAGGCAGTGCCTGCGGTGTGAAGCCAGCGCCGCTGAGCCACGGAGCAGCCGGCGGAGGCGAAAGCGTAGAAAGTCAGGACTATCCACAGCAGTCCATGAATCAGCGCTGGGATGCTCTGACGCGCTGGAGCCCCGAAGGAAACCCACGGAAAAGCAGAGCATGTCATGTCCTCCAACTCGAAGAAGCGCTCCAGCACGCGGCCTGCGAGGAAGGAGAACCACAAGGTCAGCGTCGCCGGGGCCAGGAAGGGCGTCCAAAGGAACGAAGCGACGTAGATGGGCCAGAAGATCCAGCGGGACGGTTTCCAAAGCCAGGCATCAGGCTTGTTGAAGAGCACACTCACTCGATTTCCCATGTGAGACCGCTTCCACCGGCACTGCTGAGCCAAATACTCATTCCATGTCTCCGGCATGAAGGACGTGGCCCAACAATGAGGAAGGAACCGAATGCCCCCGCCAGTTTGATACTTCTCGTGGACAAGGTTGGTCATGAAGCTGTCCTCCCCCATCTCGATCATCATGGAATCAAGCATGGAGTCCTCTTGCACACCACGGCAGAAGTCTTTCTGAACAGCCCGCACTGTCTCCATGGCATACATGGCACACGAGCCATTCAAAGGAAGTTGGAATCGAATGGCGCTCTGCCCAAGCCAAAGCAGGCGCTGCGAGAACCAATCCCTCATCAGCTGCACCAGGAGGCAGAAGTTGTGGTACTTCTTGGTGAGAAGAAAGGGTCCACAAGCTGCAAGGTTCTGCTCCTGCATGCACTCAAACATCTTGCCCACATGATCGGGCTCCACTCTGCAGTCCCCATCCAGCAAGAGGAGTGCACCCGGGTTGGCACGGCCAGCATCGTGGTCGGCCTGAAGGATGGACATGCAAAGTGCCTGGCTGGCGCGCTTGGAGCGCGGGCAGCCTGGGCCCTTCACGTAGATCTCGAAAGGATATGGCACCGTGGCATCCTTGATTCCGCGAATGCACACGCAGCCGTGGTCCAGCTCCACCTTTCCAGATGGTAGGATGGACGTGAGAGCTGACAAAATCTCCACATCCTCTGCAATGTTTGCAATGTTTGAGCTTTCCTTGTCGTGCTTGGGGCTAGGGTTCTCAACATCCGTGACTGTGCGCACCTTGTTGAACCAGGAAATGATCGCCTCTTGGTCGATCCGCTGAAGGCCATCGACGAAGACCATTAATCGGGCCGAGGGGCCCTCCTCTGATCGCTGGAGGGTGCTAATGCTGTGCTCTAACTCCTCCTGGGTCTCGTTGTAGCAGCTCAGAACAACAAGGACATCCTCATTTCGCTCTGGGTCATCTTCAGTGGTCAAGGACTGGGTGTTCATGAGGTTCTCCGAGGCCTGCGGCACATACTTCCGATAGAGCACCAGCAGCTTGATAATGCCGAAGCTCGAAACCAACATCGCCAAGTGGATGGGGGCCAGTCCCAGCCCAAACTGCCACCACCCGTCACAGGGAGGGAGGGTCTCTGCCGCATCTGTGAACATGGTCGCTGAAGGGTAGACGTTGTCGTCTTTTCGGGCGTTGTGCCGAAAAAGGAGCTGCAACGGACTCATGCTGCAGGATTCAACTTGACTTCTGATGGTAGCTGCGCCTGCCGTATCAGGAAACAGGAATGGAAGGAGCACAGCGCACATCAGCATATGTTTTGCCCTTTTTATCTGTTATGATTCATATCATGATCAATATCATCATTACGCTGATTATCATTGCTATCATTGCTATTACTTTTTGTTATCCCTATACATACATATTCTTATATATATATATAGATATATACCAATTCATCTGTGTTTATCTTCATATCTGTATATATCCCTCATATAACACCGACATGTACCCCAATATGGTATAGTAGTGTGCATTTTCCTTCAACGAGGGCCTAAACTAAACCCCCAAACCCTAAACCCCAAAACCCCTAAATCCTAGAACCCCTAAACCCTAAAAACCCTAAACCCTAAACCCCAAACAGTAGTTTCCATTTCTTTTCCATCATCCCTATACAACCCCTATATGACCTCAATATAATCTCTATACAAGCCCTATAACCCTGTAGTTTCCATTTGTCAAATTTCTTATTGAACGAATCTGAGATCCTTGGCCTCGCTGGCAGCACTGAGCTCGCTCGCTGAGCCTGACATGCCAAGCTGCCAGATTTGAATCCCCACGTCCCAAGTAGGGGTTTAGGGTTTAGGGTTTTAGGGGTTGGGGTTTAGGGTTTAGGGATTAGGGTTTAAGGTTTAGGGACTAGAGTTTAAGATTTAGGGTTTGGTTTTGGGTTTAGGTTTTAGCCTGAGGAATAGTATATGGTAATATAGGGTTATTATATAAAACACAATGGAGGCTACTATTTCGGGTATACGGTATAGGGTAGGTGACCTATCAAAAAATAAAAATGGTCAAGGAAAAGGTTAAGACTTGGAGATCAAAAAAAGAATCATAAGCAAAAAGAAATATTTCAACTGCCAAATGTGGACAGTCGCAGGGATCGTGGGGGTCGCAGTTGCCATCCCTGTAACTGTCGTCGCTTGTAGACCCTCGGACTTCAGATTTTGCCACAGTGCTAAGAGTCACAGGGATCGTGAGGGCACGGGTCGCTATCCTTGTAACCCGCAAATTAGAACATTTCTTGCTTTTGGAACATGAGATATGCTGCAAATTACAGCATTTGCTGGTTTTGGAACGCTTCAGATGATGCAAAAAACAGCATTTGCTTATCTTGGAGCGGTTCAAATGCTGCAAATTGCAGCATTTGCAGGTCTGGGAGATTCTCAGGTACGACCGGGGACTTCAAGACCACGACCGGAGGACCACAGGACCAGAGGACCACATGGACCAAGGGACCTCAAATGCTGCAAATTACAGCACGTGCCGGTCTTGGAGCACTTCAAGTGCTGTAAATTAAAACACTTCCTGGTCTTGGAACATCTCAAGCGCTGCAAATTACAGCACTTGCTGGTCTTGGAAGGCTTCAAGTGCTGTAAATAACAGCATTTGAAAGGGACCGGGGACCTCCAGACCACAGGACCAGAGGACCAGAGGACCGCGGGACCAGAGGACCACGCGACCAGAGGACCAAGGGACCGGAGCCACACCAGGACCGAGCCACACCTTTGCAAAAAAACAACCGGACCCCTGTGATATGAGGCCCAAAAATGACGACACTTACGAGGATGGCGACCGCGACTCACCTGATCCCTGTGACTGTTGACACTTTAGACACGCCCAAAAGCTTCACTACTACCCTTGCTACTCGTGTATTTCTACCATAGCACTGCGCCAGCGCTACGAGGTCGTTTTCATTATCTTTCATAGTTTCTTTTTATGTTTGCATTTCTTTCTTTCTTTCTTGCCGTGCTTGCTCTTTCCTCTTTGCGATTTTTCTAGGTTTCTTCATTTCTTTTTGTACTTCGCTCTTTCTGTGCGTTTTATCCTCTTGTTTCTCCGCCCTCTTAGTGTGTATTTCATTCTGGCTGTGTCTGCCTTTATCTATTTCTTTATTTCTTTATGTTCCTCTTTCTTTCTTTTTTGCTTTCTGTCTGCCCCTCTATGTTCCCGTAGCGTTTCCTGTATGCAGAACCTTCAGCAGGCATCGGGCGGTTCCAGAGGTTGGTGGTGCCGAAGGACTGAGTTTTGCAGGTATTTAGCCATTTATTTTTTTTGGTTGCTTACGACTTAATGTGTTTCCGATCATAATTTAATTCGTTGTTGATTGCAAACTATTTTTGATGGGCATCCCGTATAGGGTGTGGGGCAAAAACCATTCTTACTACACAAATTCCCTGTAACCCATATATAAATTCTTCGGCAATTTCTTGAAAGGTCCACATCACATCAGCAGGAATATCCAGTGTTGGGATGAGGGATAATTTGGTAATTTCCCAAAAGACGTGTTTTCCCCCAATATAGACCCCAAAATACTATAGTCATTATTAGGGGGAACCCCCACGGGGTACCCCTTATTTTGGGAAACCCCCATTTCTGCTTAACGATCATTACCATGTTAAGACTGCTCTCAACCATCACGATCGAGAAGCATAAGAAGAGCCGGGTCCTTGACTAACTACTAACCATGGCGTTTCGGTGGCTAGTGAATAGGGGTATAATATAGGGTTAGACCCTAAATCCCAAACTCTATATAGGGATTATTGAGAAGAAAATGAAAGCTACTACTTAGGGTTTACGGTCTAGGGTTAGGAAGGCATAAAGGAACATCTTACATTGGGATTACACAAGGATTATTTTCCCTTCTTCCCTACTAACTACAAATAAGTAACTACACCATGGGTGGTGCCTTCGTCCAAACCTTCCAAGAAGTCCCGGCGCCTGCATTGATGAAGTGGACATGTCTTAGTTGATCCACCGCTTGGTTGAAGCAGTTAAGGTTTAGGGTATATGATTTAGGGATCAGTGTTCAGGCGTTGAAGCACACATGGGAGCCCCCTTTCTTGTTGGTCCTGGACGGACCATGTGGTGAATCTTGAAAAGACATGCATTTCAGTACGCCCCCAACTGTCGGCAAAGGACAAAGTAACAAGCAGCGAGAATTGAAGCCACACTGCTGCCAAACGTCAAAGAGCAACAAGAGAATATTCTTACTATCATTCCGAGTACAAGTAATCCTATTTCTTTCGTAGTCATTACTAGCGTTATTTTCCTAGCGCTGTTCTTTTTTTTGTCATACTATTCCTGTTCTTGCTGCTACTGTTATGTGGCTTAGTTCCCGCAGCTCTAAGTCAGCAGCCTCTCATCTTCCAATTCATCAATCAATCCTGTCAGGATGTTCTGCAAGGTATGGGCTAATGCTCAAAAAGCTATGACCAGTAGTAAGAACATTAACCGTAAGAACAGCAACTGTAATAACAATACTCGTAAAAAAAGGATCATAGCGATAACATTTGTAACAAGTATAATAGTAAGAATAACAACGAAATAATAGCAATAACAACAATAATATGAATAGTAACTGCTCATCCGATCCCCGACCAGCACAGCTTAGCCGCGTGCTCGCTGCTGTCCCACTCGAGACAGTGCGGATGATGGAAATTGATTGCTCCTGCGAGATCCGTTTACAGTCTGCGCCTACGCTGGAAGCAGCAGGGATGTGACGCTCCTCCTCAGCAGTTTCCGAGTAGGACAGTGTGACAGACCTTGTGGATACCAACTAACTTGAGACAACATACATCTTCAATGCGGCGCGCTGTCTGCAAGGATTTTGTTATATTTCAACTACCTGTGCCGTGCAGGCTATCACATCAACTTGGCCAATCTCTGTTGCCACTTAAAACGAAAATGCAACAACTGCTGGCTGGGAAACCTGCTTCTCTCTCTCCTCCTTGCTGTCTGAGCCTTCTGCAGCAGTGCAGATACTAACACCGCCAGAGCCGCTCAGAGACGGTTTTGCAAAAGAGAGAGGCTATTGAAGGAAGAAGGCTGGTGCCGGACTCTGAACGTCAGAGCTGGCACAAAGAAATGGTTATTATCACTATTGCTATTCATACGTTTATTCTTACAATTATCTTTTTCCACTTTCATCATTATTATTAACATTCTTGCAATTACTATTGACATTACTACTATTGTTTGGGTCCTGCCCCAACCCATTAGGCGTCTAAAGCAGGAGACACATTAATGGCAATATAGAACTACATCATAAATATTATCCAATGGTCCCCCAACCCTAACCCCTAAACCCTAAACTCTAGTCATTACCCTTGTTAACACCATAGCTTGTCAGGTCCTGCCTTTATGCCGAGGACCTTCGGCCTGCACGGAGAACATAATTATACCACCAACAACAATCAGGGTAGCAATAATAAGGGTAGTAGTGATAGCAAGAATCATAATGTTTAAAACGCTGATCGTGATGACCATGATTGGCAGTAGTATTGGTTTAATCTAGATATTAGTAATGATGAATCAAGGTTGAAAGAAATTGTTTGCTTTCTTTCTGGAGCTGAAGTTGGGTAGTTGAGAGTATTTGCAGCGGAATGAACTGTCAGGCAAACAATTCACGTTTTCTTTTCGGTTGGGATTGTTGGTGGCCTCCGCGTGGGAGCTAGCAGCGCTATTTCGCGACCGACCAGCTAGATCAAGCCAAACTGCCCAAGCGCCAACCGTCCAAATCTAAAGACACCTGCGGCTTGCAGGGCCGTCATTAGCCAAGAGTCCATCAGATTGGCTGCTACTACTGGTTCCCACTGCCATACGCACAGTGAAACAGGTAGCAATCAGGTAGCAGTGGTTTACATGCATGTTGCAGTATTCACGGGTTACCTGGCAGCGTTCAGGCAACAGCGGCCAATCGGCTTCTACGTTGGCAACGTTGAGCATTGGGCCATCTGAAACAGTACATCTGTTGCCTTCCATACATCATATTGACACATGGTCCTTGACCGCACATTGGCAGTCATTTCGGACAGAGCCTGAGCCGTGAGGCTCGCTCGACTTCTACAAGGTGAAACTGCGAAAAGTAAATATCAGTAAGGCTATCGCAAGAAAAGTCAAAGGACTGTGCCAACCTTGCAGGTGGGAGTGATGGTTTATTCTCGCATTTGTTCTGCTTCAAACTAATCACAAACTATCACCTACAAAACGCTGCTGCCCATCTGGCCTTCACGGGGATTCGCCACTTTGCGCCGATTTCGGGGATGACAAGGGCTTGGCCTTGCGCCCCTTCTTCGGATCCTGCACGAGTTGGGCTTGGGGGTACTCGGGAAGTATCGTGGCGTTCTCAAACTTCCACAGGACGTCCGGCATGGCTACGCCCATCTCCACACGCTCCGCGCTGTAAAAACATGTGCGTGGCCTTCGCTGGTCGCGGGTGGCGGCTGACACCGCAACCCCTCGGTTGGAGACGTACTCCTTGAGAACTGTCACCACCAGGTCGGCTTCCCGGTCGTCGAAGTTCATGAGCGGCTTCTCAAGAATCAGGATTTCCGGATTCATGACCACCGCTCGCGCGATGTGCAGCTTGGCCTTTTCTTGGAAGGACAGGGACTCCTGCCACCCGTGCAAGGCTGACGCCACACGCTTGGCCCGCACCGAGCCCTCTGGTGGGGTCCATCGTGCGTGCGGTGGCTCTGCAGCTCTCACTTTGTTTGCACCGTAGCAGCACCCCTCATCCACCTTTCATGGGAGGCACTCAGCTGGGATTATGTAGGGGGGTCGGTGGTTCAAAGCATTGCCTGGAAAAGGGGCTTTTTGCCTGACGAACCTCATCGTCCTCTTCTAAGAGTGGCTCCTGCAGAATTTCGATTTCACTTTCCGCCAGCTCTCGAGTTCGAGACATCTGCAATTTATCCAGAATCCACATCATCCGATGCCGCTCTTCCGGCTGTGCCACAGCGAGGGGATCTCCAAAGAAGAGGTTTTGCAAGGGAGAGGCATGCATCAGGTAGACCCGGTGGCTCACTAGCAGGCATCGCAAGTGAGAGGGGATGAGCACTTTGCCACTGGTAGGAGAAACTCCACTAGCTAGCATTTGGATCAACTTGGTCTTGCCGCTGCCGGCGAGGCCGACCAAAGCAACAAGCTTTCCCTGCTCCACAGATACGTTCACACCTTGCAGTAGATTCTTATTGCTCGGCAGTTTGAAATGCACATCTTCCAGGCGTATGGGGATCATATCGGTGCGGACCGTCCCAGGACTCGGAACTGGTAACTGCATGAGCTTCTTCCTCTGGTCAGCTGTCTCTGCAACTCGCCTTTTCACCAAATCCCTCAAGTCTGCGACGTCAGTGGTTCGGTTCAAAAAGACTGTCACTTCGAGAAGAGGGTTGAACTTGGCTATGATGCTCTTGATGCAACCAAATCCAGATGCAAAGTTGGAGCTAACTTCCTTAAACACAGAGATAGTGGCCAAAAACCTCAGCCAAGCGCACACTCATCCTGACTCGCGGGGGCTATGAGGTTTTCCAAAACCTTCCCTCACTCACCATCCACTATCGACAAATAACGTGTCTGCTGCTTTCTCCGTCTGCTGGTGGCTTCTTTACTATATAGCGCCTTTGTAATATCGTAAACGTAATGGTTTCCATTTTTTCTGGTGTCTCACAAGGTTGATTGCTAGCTACAGGCGTGGCCTTGCTCTCCTCAAGGGCTGTTTCCGGTTTAGGGTTTAGGTTTAGGGTTTAGGGGGCACTCATCGAAGACAACCACAAGGGTTCAACGATCCAACGCGCATGTTTATCTCTGTCTTGAACCCATGAAAACAACATGCTCCGTGAACTTACTGGTTTTTGGTAGGGAATATGGAACTACATTGTACAGGAAGTATATGGGCATTGTATTCCCTTATTCCCTACTAAAAAGAATCTTACTGCTTGTTAGTTGCGAATAAGGGAACCTAATCCTATTATAACCCCTACATAATGTATTCCCTAACTCCCTCAAATAACCCAGTAAGGAATGACCCTAAGCCCTAAACCCTAAACCCTAGAGGATTAGACAAGGCTAAGCTCGGAACGTTCCCAGTGAGAGCTGGCCCCCAAGGACCTGCGAGGAGTAGAAGCAGATGTAGAAGCCAGAGAAGAAGGGCCCTAACCTTGGCTGCTGCTAAGAAACTTACATTAAGATGCCCTAATGGATAATGAAACAGAAGTGTATATATATATATATAGAGTACTTAGTATGGTGCGCCAGTACAGTAGGTAAATTTCAGTTCCTCAACAGCAACGCAGCAACCAATCAAAGAAGAATTCGCTGCGCATGTCGTAGATGCCACGGGGCTCCTGCACCTTTGCGAGCAGCTGAGTTTGTTAAGGGGAAGGGGCATACAAGCTTTGGCCATGCTCTTTCTGAGTGGCCTCCTGGAGCTTGGTCACACGCGCTGCGAACCTTTCATTCATGGTGGGCCGCTGGAAGTAGCCAGCGATAAGTGGGTAGAACTCGCTGATCTCACCCACCAGCGTGGACACCTGCAGTGGTCCCTGACCATCCGGAGAAGAAGCTTTAAAAGGCGCTCTAGTACCTCCAACCTCTACTCTCTGCAAAGGGCATGGCGGCATGGCTGCTTTCAAACGACATGCTTTTTATGGCAGAGGCACTTCTTTCACGTAGGCATCATCTTCCTCTGGCTTTCGCAGCCAGAACTCGCGCAGTAGCACCCAAAGACCCATCACCACAGGCATCGTAACCACAGCCCACAGCATGCCTGGATCGCTGGAGATGGCAAAGGAGTTCAACATGATCAGCTTGCCCAGCGTCTCCAAGAGGGAAGACACGTCGTTGAGGCTTTCCCCAAGCTGAACTGCACTTTTGTCCACCAGCTTCTGAACCTCCGGTTGGGTAACCTCTGCTCTGGACTCGCTGCTGTAGTTCATGTACTTTCGCATCATGCTGGTCTGCAAGAAGAAACTGCAGCGGCCTGTGATGTCCATCTTTGTTTTGGCCTCCTTCCAAATGTGGAGGATTAGGGGGAGGACTATGTACATCAAGCCAAGCACCTGGGCGGTTCCTTCCGCATCCCCAGGGATGAAGAGTCGTTCTGGGTCTTGGTCCCCAAAGATCACGTTCACCATGTACACGGAGGACACAAGCATAAACCAGACATAAGCATTCTTCAGCTGATCAAAAAGCAAGGTCAGTCCAAAGCGCCAAGTGTTGCCAGGGATTCGAAGCATCAACTTGCAAAACTCCACAAACAACGGCGGTCCACTGACCGTTTCTAGAGCCCCTGAACCCAAGGCGGCAACCTCGGCATAGGCACTGGTTGGGAAACTGTCCCCGTCCAAGACCTTGACACGGCATACCTTTAAGTACTTGCCTAAAGTACAGCCCATGGGGCTGCTCAACAAGATCTTGAATTCAAGGGTGGCTGCCCATGTGGGCGAGTCCAAGATCTCAATGTCGATGCTCTGCTGAAGCTGGCCATCCTCAAAAATGACCTCGCCCTCAGTATGAACATACCGGCTGCCTGCTTTGCCGGAGCTCGCCTCCGTCTGGAAGTAGCAGCTCACACGCCCCGAAAGCGAGCCCAAGCGCATCAGCTCAACTTTGAAGTCCTCCCCTTCGGCTGCGACGAAGATAGGTGCCGCAAATTGGACAATATCTAGGGAGTCAGAGTTGACTGACGGCTGGGGTTCCAAGTCATTGGCCTCCAGCAAGCTGTACTGAATGCCACCATTGAAGCGAAGCTCTCGGCTGGCGTTATTCTTTGCCGCCTTCCCCCCGCATACGCCCATTGCATCTACAGCTCCTTGCAGACACGCTCTGCCTTGAGCATAAAAAGACAGGTGGAGGGACGTCCACTGCACAGACCTGCACCACCTTTCACACCATGATCTGGAAGGGGTGGCTACTATCGTCTGCTTCGGGCCCTCACATTCCATCTTCGCCCAGGCCTGAGTGGGTGGCACGGGCTCCTGGGTAAAAATCAAAGCACGCGCACACGCTAAGTTGCACGGACGGTTTTGGTAGTACGTGATTCTCCCTGCACTCCAATTGCACAGGCTCCTTGCCGATGATGCGCATGCTGCGGAGATGCCCGTCCCTTGGCGCAGCATCTCTCAGCCACAGCTGCATGAAACCGGAGATGGCAAAAGCACCGTCAAGAACAACTGCATCGCCAGCCGTGAACACTTGGCCAATACGGACATTGCGGCGATGGTGCTTCAAACACAGTGCCAGGACGGTAGCGCCACCCACCCACCCACCCACACCCACACCCACACACACACACACACACCCACACACACACACACACACACACACACAAAAAAACACACACACACACACACACACACACACCGACCGTTGCCACAGCGACAACATAATTTGCTAGATAGCTTCTAGAATTATACAGCATGAAGCAGCACATCAACTGTGAAAAGCAAAGCTGCGGACGACTCGAGCACATCCCACGTCGTCTCTGTTCCGTTTTTGTAGCTCTTAACCTCAGAACTGACCCACCTGGATGATACCTGCACGAACCCTCTGCCAGCTTCCTAATCTTTACAGATGTGTTTGGTACCGGCGCAACCCATTGTAAGACATAGATAGTCCATGGTGCATTACCACTCCGTAATATGAGCAAGCATCAAAAAATCTCAAACTCTCTACTTTGCGAAAGGTCCTTAAGCACAAGAAGGCTTCCAGCGTCCTTCGCTAGTCACTTTGCCAATCCACGACGATGGATCATGAAGCTGCTCCCTGCTATCGGGAAAATAACCCTAGTTGGAATCAAACGAGAAACGCCTCTGTCACTGAACTTTTGCTCACAAAAGCCAACCTATGATGGGGATTGCAAATATCACGAGGAACTCCCATGTCTTGAATTCCTTTGACCAGCCCAGAAGCGGTCCACTTGCAGCGATCTTTGAAGCGAGGTTTGGATGCTGAGCCACCTGAGAATGTGGTATGGTGACGTCTGGTAGGCAGACACCAAAAACACATATCACAAAACACTCATTGTTTATCGGGGAAGCTCTAGTGATGCAGGAGTTGTCAATCGGTAGGCATGTCGTAAAGATTGTGTATATCACAAGCACCTGTATCGTGGGGTTAAAAAAACCAACGCCTTTTACCACAAAATGAACACTTCTCAAAACAGGGGTGCCCCCAAGAATCCTGAAGAACAGTACATGCGTACATATGTATGTATGCGACGTACGTATATACATACATCATATGCACCTACATGACTTGCAATCACCTCCCCTGCTTTAACAATCGCGCCAGGTCCTGCCTGATAGTCATGTCTTCCCACACTTGCAAATTACAATGGGGTGTCCAGCTAACGCATCAAGGCAGAGCCGGGTTTCATCATTAATTAGGGACGGGTCATTCTGGGCACAAGCCCTTTCGTTGAGGGTTTAGGGTTTAGGGTATGCCCAGCATTTCCTGAATTTCGACTTTTCATGCAGCCCACCACGTTCGCCTTCTAGCTTTTGGTTTGGGAAAGCCTTCCGTTGAGAGAGCAGCAGATTGCCGGAAGCGAGTAAGCAGTGACTTTTAACGCATGTCCAGTTTCCATAGATCGGGGAACCCAATCTACCCCCTAATGGTGTAATCCTTTTTGTAGACACCCCCAAGAACAGTACCCCTAATCTTGGGAAACCCAAAGCCCTATAAACCACTGTACAGTTCCAGTTTGCATTTCATTCTCCATCTTCTTTTGGTTTGATCTTCCATTATTGGGTAATAACCCAATGCATCCCCTACATAATCCCCATACTTGCCATTCTCTCTTCCATATGACACGTTATTGACACAAGCATTCATCTGCTAGACTCGTGATGACCTGAGCAATCCCTAAGGCCTTTTTATCGCACCTAAATAAGCCCTAAACCCTAAACCCCTTAAGCTCTAAACCCCTTAAGCCCTAAACCCCTTAAACCCTAAACCCGTAAACCCCCCCAAAGCCCTAAACCCCTTAAACCCTAAACCCGTAAACCCCCCCAAAGCCCTAAACCCCTTAAAGCCCTAAGGCCCTTAAACCACTAAACCCCCACCTGGGTCCACATGGCCTGCTCTTGGAGCATCGCCATCCTGCTGCAGCAAAGCCGGCGCTCTAAGTTCCCCGGACCCCCCAGTTTAGGGTTTAGGGTTTAGGGGTGGACCCCCACCCAGTAATAGTGACTATAAGGGATAATAGGGAATATATTAGGGTCCTCTTATATTCTTATTATACCACTAGTACAGGGTGGGGGGTCCTCCTAAGGTAGATTTGGGGTTCTGTT